AAGCTGTTTTAAATCACTTTTAAGCTTTTCTGAGGTAAAAAATTCTCATGTGGGAATATTTCCAGGCCTTGGGGCAAAAAGGTTGTTATTTTCAGGAAATACACTGTATTTTAATGTCGTTTTTTAATTCTTTCCTCAGTTAAACTAAATAACTAAGAGAGAGTTAAAGAACTATACAGGGGCTTAACAGGTTCTTTGTATGGCAGAGATGCTATAGGCTATAGCACATTAACCACCCCAAAGAACCGCTGAAGAACCAATTTTGTGTGTGTGTGTGTGTGTGTGTGTGTGTGTACAATATTTGAACCGTCACGCAACTGAAAATGTAGTTAAGCTAGTAGTGTGGTAACTTTAGTTACTTTTTGCTCTTTTAATTACCCCAAAGGTGCAAAATGTAAACTACTGACCTTGTTTTGAAATCGGTCAATTAGTTGCTTTATGCAGTTCGAAGAGTGGTTGTTGCTGCTGTACAAACTTGACATCGTTCTTTTGACTACAATCGCGCTTCTGATTACAGCAGCGGCCAATCACATGATAGCAGCGCGTCTTGATAAATATATAAATTATTTTTTAAAATATATATAGCTAATAGCATATACATGAAGCTGAAGTTGTGTTGGTTACGTGAAGAAAAAATAAAATTCCCTAATGCGAAGCCAGTGAAAACAGAATTTCAAAGTTTAAGGCCAATAATTTCTTTTAAAGAAATCAATTTTTTTTCAGCAAGGATACATTAAATTGTTTAAAAGTGGCAAAGACATGTATAATGTTACCAACAAGTCTATTTCAAATAAATGCTGTTCTTTTGAACTTTCTGTTCATCAAAGAATCCTGAGAAAAGTATGGTTTCCACAAAATATAAGCACAACTGTTTCAACATTTATAATAGTGAAAAATGTTTTTAGAGCACATTAAAATTATTTTTGAGGGATCTTGTTTCCACACAAGATTAAAAATCGCACTGAGCCCAAACTTTTGAATATTAATGTAATGTCATAATAAAATATAATAGTTACATAATGTTATAATAAATACTATTCTATTGTTTTGTGATTTACTTAAACAGTTCAAAATATTGCACACAACTGTCATAATTGTAATTCATTATATATTTCTTTAATCAAAGTTCTCGCTGAATCTTTTAATGATTGCACTTTTAAATCAATAAATCATATAAAAATAAATGTGAATAAAAATGAAATGTTTACTTAAAGTTTATTCTATTGCAAGAAATTCCCACTGAAGCATTTTTTTGGATCAGTAATTGCCTCACCATTTTTACCAGAAAACGTATTAAAAACAAACATTCAAAACAGAATTGGTTTTAAATTCAATAAAAATTTGATTCAAGTTAGTTTCAGTCTCACACAAAACTCCCCCACCCACATACACTGCTGTTTTTCCACACTTGTCTTAAATGGCTTGCTGAATGCATGACACAATAGCTGAAATAAGGTCAGCGTGTTTATGTCTGTGTCCAGACTGATGGTTGTCTAGCTGACACGTGAGAGACATCAGAGCGGCGGGAGCCTTTAATCAGACGAGCGACCCGCTCATCAGCTCACACAGGTGAGATCAGACCTTGCTCTCCCATTTACCACAGCAGCACCAGAGACTCTGGGGACAAACCTTTCAGAGGCCGAAACACACACACAAACACACACACACACACACACACACACACACACACGCGGCACAGTGACAGCCCTGTAATCATATCCATCTATGAGTCAATTATGTGTAAATAGTGAAAAGTATAAGCAACACACTTGGACTTTCGAGTGTGAATCCAGCATAATAATTCTGTTTACGCTAACTGATGCTTTCCACAAGACCAGCATGTATCATTAAAGTTTTAATCTTTATAAGTGTAACAAACACCTGCACATATCAAATAACACCATCATTCAGATGAAGGGATAAAGAATGCCGTGGCATTTTCCAACATGCTCTTCAGCGCTTTAATGTGAGTCAATATCCTATTAGGCCTTGATGTGGGCTGTAAGAGGTTTGCAGCCCTTCACCTGCTGCCACTGAAGACAACTTTTATCTAATGCAGTTCATCACATGGCCTTTGTCAGAAGCCTCCAAACAGCATGAAAACTGAAAGACCACAGGCCTAGGATGAGAATATGTGAATAGATTTGAACTGTGATTTCAGATATAAGGAAATAGAGACCATAGTGACTGACCTTTAAGGTGCAAAGATGGAAAAACCTGCGACTTCATCTTTGGTTAACTCTCAAAAATAAAGGTTGTTTATTGGCATAAACGGTTCCATGAAGACCCTTTAACATCCATAGAACTTATCCATTCCAGGTTCTTTATAGCGGAAGGTGTTTCTTCAGATGATCAAATTGCTCTTCACACCAAGAAAAAAATGGTTCTTTTAAGAACTGTTCACTGAAAGGTTCTTTGGGGAGCACAAAATTGTTCTTCTATGACATCAAAACCCGCTTTTGGAACCTTTATTTTTATGAGTGTTGTAATGCAAAATGAAAACACAGAGGTTCCAAAAGGGGGGTTTTCACAGTGATACCATAGAAGAACCATTTCTGGTTCCCCAAAGAACCTTCCAGTGAACAGTTTTTTTTATCCATCACCATTAGCAGTAGCCGTCATGTTGCAGATCAAGAGTGGGATTGAGAAACAATCACGTAGGCAAAATATGTCAACATGGGATTGTGGAAAGACAATGAAGTCGATTTTTGTGTAGAGTATTACGAAGAATCTTTGCTGTCCAATGTTTATGAAATCTTTCAATCAAAGAGATGCCTGACGTTTCCAAACCACGACATTCCCACTGAATCTTTGGGATGGCAAATGTCCTTTTGTACCCTCATTGACTCTCCACATGTACGGGCAGGTCAGGAGGTAATTCATCCGCCTTTAGAGGGGATTACGGAGTGCTTCAAGTTAAACGCTTGAGATAAACACACTTCTCTGCTGCTTCTCTCTGATCTCTCTGTTGCAAAACATGTTACAGTGTACGAGGGAGGTATTTTCCAGCATACTGTGAACTCTCTCATTAGCACTGTGGGACTTCTCTGCTTGAATCCCTACACAGACTGAATGTAAACACATTTAGACCAATAAACAGCTTTGATATTAAAGTGCCATCCAAAGAACACAAGTGCAAATTGAAATGTAAATACTGCTTTATTTAGCTCACAGCTGAACAACGTATTGTGTGGGGATTACATTGTTATTAATTAGCTGAATTATAAAATCAGGCTATGCAAATCTGCTATTGTCCTTCACAAATAATCCTTCCCATCTCATTATCTTAATAATATAAATTTTCCTAATTTCACGGTCAGGTATCAATGCTTAAACAAATTCATGCCTGATATATGAAACACTTATTACCCCGAGGTATGAAAATGAATCTGTAAAAAAAAATCTAACTCAAACATACCACACTTGTTTTATAATGATTCTGGGGCTCAGACTTTTACAGATCCACAATAAAGAAATAAAGAGCTCATTCTCTAATTTATCTATTCTGTGCCATTGTCAAACATTCACATAAAACTCCTGAAATTGCTATCAATCAAAATTTTACAGTGCAGCAAGGCGACACTATATTAAAGGTATGAAAATGAATCTGTAAAAAAAATCTAACTCAAACATACCACACTTGTTTTATAATGATTCTGGGGCTGACTTTTACAGATCCACAATAAAGAAATAAAGAGCTCATTCTCTAATTTATCTATTCTGTGCCATTGTCAAACATTCACATAAAACTCCTGAAATTGCTATCAATCAAAATTTTACAGTGCAGCAAGGCGACACTATATTAATGTTATTCTTTATGAACGTTAGCCATCAATTTAGCTCAAAGATATTCTTTTTTTGTTGCATTGTAGCACTGGAGATTCCTTTAAAGAAACTCAAATTCAAGACAAGGATTCCTGGATTCAATCAGTGTTGTAAGAAAATTGTTTAATTTAATCCCATACTTACTGACTTGTAAAAAAAAAAAACTAAAACGAAGAATTCTACATAAGGCAATTTTTTTGTGTGAAAACTAGACATTTTAAGAGAATCAGTGTGCTTAACTCATTTAAACAATAGCCTCATACTGATACTGCTCCATTAAATGCACTGCCAGCAATTTTAGGATTTTCTGACAGTTGGTAGAAAATATTCCAGAACTGCATGCAATCTCTCTAAATGCACCATAACAGTTACTCCATCTAGTGGCAAACCATTGCAATCTTGAACTAAACTTTATACAGCCTGAAGAACAAGACAAATGCAAATAAGTATCAAACTATATTTATTATATACAGTAGTAAATGGCCAACATAGGGTCCTCTGCTCTCCCAAACAACTCTGCTATTCCCATTACAACACTCACACATGTTGATTTGGCTTGAATTCACTGTGGAGTTGCAATTACACCAGGATAGTGTTTAATACTCTTGATATGCCAGAAGGACTAAATGAGTGATGTCACTATGACGTATTTGTAGAGGGCAAACTATGAGACGATAAAATTACGGGGAACACTTAGTTTGTATATCATGAAATTTATAGCAAACAGCAAACTTTTAAAGACATATGCATTAAAATTAAACATAGCTACCGGCAAATGATCCGCAATCTAGCTTTATCAAACCTGAGGTGTCAGAAAAACACAATGCTGCAATGTCACTGTTCGAAACAGTTCATAAAAAGGTCGTCTTAAAGTTTAGTTGTTTACCACAATTAAAGAAATTCTGGGACCATTCTAAGAAGTCACAAACATCCTCTTTCACAAAGCTTCCCTCCTTGTATATAAAAATAGATGGGGGAGGTGCACACATACATACATAATACAAAAACGTATACAACAGGCATACAATCTCCAAAAGGGGGAAAAACAACATTACTAACTGTCATTTCCAATTTAGTTCAGGGAGAACATTGGGAAAACGGAAATGAGGTCTTTGGATGATTAAAAAGAGAAGCAAAAAAAAAAAAAAAAAAAAAAAAAAAAAAAAAAAAAAAAAAAAAAAAAAGAGCTATTAACTTAAACAGATTTGATTTCTAGAACCTTTTCCATTTCAGCCCTGAACTGCAGTGGAAGTGAAGATGAGCACAAATAAACAAGCTTCATCCACATGTGCTTCATCTTTAGCAGGTTCCTCCCGTTTGCTGCTGGAATACATCGATAGTGTCCTCATCTTCCATTTCCAGCTGAAAATTCACATAAAAACATACACGGAGTACATTTCAAACTGAGGCCTTATAACAGTTTATGTGCGCCAAGCTCCAGGTTTGCAAATACACTATGACAAATGCAGCTTTTTTTTTTTTTAGCTGTTTGTATGGATTGCTTAATTTTATAAATTTTTTTGGACAAAGACTGCATCCTCGAGATTTGGAGCGGATTAAATATTACTGAAAGCAACTAGGAATACAGTCCCCATAGCAAGACAGCATACATGTTTATTAAAAAAATATTACTAAAAATAGTGAGAATTGTGATGTTTTGACTCTCTAGCTGTTTGGGCTCTCATGATGACGGCGCCTATTCACTGCAAAGCAGCCATTGATGAGCAAGCGATGTCACGCTAAATTTCTCCAAATCTGTTCCAATAAAGGAAGAAATCTACATCTTTGATAAGGCCTGACGGCAAGTACATTTTCTGCAAACTATTCAGGAAACAGTGAACTATTCCTTTAAACAGTTAACATTTCAGAAGCTGCTAACATTTGTACCAACAAACTGAAAAATAAGCGTACAAACCTGTGCAGGTGTGTCCGTCTCATTGATTGGCTGACCATCAAACCTGAACCTAATTTGCCTTATGGATAAACCCTGAAAAAAAAAAAAATCCAAGTTATAGATCTGCACATCAACATAACGTCAAATGTGCAAAGCTTCATGATGTGTGCAGATCTCAGGATCACTGGAGCTCAAGCTGCAGTCTCACCTGTCTTTCGCAGTAGGCCTTCATCAGTTTGCTGAGGGGGGTATGCCTTTTAATTTTGAACTGGACCACAGATCCATCCTGACCCGCCACTTTCAAGTTGATGTGGTCATTTTCAGTCTTCACGCCCTCCTGAAATGAAATATGCAGAGTGTGTGGTGTTAAACAAAGATGAATCATGAACATGCACTGTTCTCAAGGGTCTCTACACACACACCTGGTAGAGGATTTGAGCTAAAACCACATTGTGCTTTACATGCAGTCCCTGTAGTAAACATTAACGTTAGATGTTCCTGTGATACTGAGTAAGAGATGAACGACGCGCTAAACAGTCAGACTTGAGTCTATATCAGCATTTATTAAAACACTAGCGTTATTGGTAAAAGGGCTGCGTGAACAACTGTGAGACGCTTTCGGTGCAACTGTGTTTGGCGCAAAGTTGTAGCAACTATCCGCCACGAAAGAAAGCCAATCCGAGCATCTCGCTGATGCTGAAACGAAGCGAAATACTGCCGATTTCATTGTTAGCGACAAGAGATGCAATGATTCTCCATGTAGTTGGATGGATGGCTGAGATACATGGCCATATGCGGAAAATGCGCAAAACCTTTGTTGAAAACCTCTTTGTTTCCCCACATATAATGTGCAGGATCCCGACAACCTACATTCACGCATTATAATCACATCAAAATACACCCCTCCGTGCTGCTGGAGCTCGGCGCGCAGAGAAATGCATGTACCTTTGGCTTCTCGTCTGACATTTTTGTAGAAATGTAGGATACTCCCGGTAAATGTGGATGTGACGGTAACACGAGTGCTGTCCTCTCCGCGCTCAGCAAGAAAGCGCAGACTGGATTCGCACGTTTGATTGGCCCGGGCAAAACCACGTGCTTCCCAGCAGGGAGCTGTAGCCCCAGAACGCGAAAAATCAACTCGTCCATTTTATTGGACAGAATGAAACCACGTGACCAATCCAAAGGTCTGAGGCTACAAATTACTTTTAATTATGAACATAATTTCAACATGATAATGTGTTACTTTTACTTAATGAAAAAATATTACATTAGACACGACTAAAACCACATCTCTTCCATCTTTATTTGGCCCACTAACTCTAGCACTCTATTCAGATTCTATTTGATCTATTTGTTGACTTGATCCTCTAACACTTGCACTCTCTGTTCATTTTCTAACTGCTTATTTTCTTTCAAAAAAAAAAAAGGCCTTTAACACTAGCTTTCTCTATTCTTTTTCTATTCTACTTGTTTTCTTTTTGTGTTATATATATATATACATATATATATATATATATATATACATACACATATGTGTGCGTGTAATAAAAAATTGCTATGTGTACTGCATTAAGCTAACTGACACTTGTTATAGCACTTGCATATTATTGCTCTTTTGTTGGTTTTGTTTGCTTCTGTTGTCCTCATTTGTAAGTCGCTTTGGATAAAAGCGTCTGCTAAATGACTAAATGTAAATGTAATGTACTTCTTTGGGGTCTCATGTATAAAAAACAAAAACATGATTAAACGTGATATACATTTAAAAATGTAATTATATATAAACTACATTTATATCAAAATTTTAAATAAAATAAATAATAAATGAACTGACATCGCTACAAAAAAACATGAAAAAATGTGTACTTTTGATGTTTAATGTGTCACAAAATTACTAGCAATATGATTTAGGTAAAATCTATTTAAAAAAATGTTTACATTTTAATAATGTATATTTGTTTTCTGTTTGCTGTACAATATTCACTTTTATTGATATCTTTCTCACAGTTTATTTGACTTTTGTCAATTGCACTGACAAATCAACCCTTTGGTAAATACAACAAGCTAGTGATCAAAACATTAAAAAATGCAGCACATAGACAAATTACATTGAAATGCCAACAAATTAGCAAAGGCAGAGACAAATCAATTTGTCAATTTGAAATGTGTGGGACATTAATCTATAAAGCGCACTGTATTATAGCACGTTTTCTATATTTATGCAAGACAAGTCCTAGTTTAATCTGAGTAAAAAGCTACACAACTAAAATTTGCTGAGGCTAAATAAAAATGAATCCATGTACTATATTTACAAGGCTTCATATTGTGGTTTGCTTGAAGATTCATCGAAAATCCAGGTGAGTTAATTAAATGTCAAGCCAAAAGCAATGTATGTTTGTGTGGTCAGCTGCTAACTGGTATATTCAGTGTCTTTCAAACTCAAAGAAAAATGGAGTGCTGGCTGTGCAGGGAAATGTGTTCATTTTTACAATAGGTGTGAGGTAAAAGAAAAGACAACAGTGGAGCATCATCACAAGTTTCTTAGCTGTTCTCAAATCTGGAGTACTGGTTATCCTTTTTCAAACCTAAAACAGAGTGAGCAATGATAAAACTCTGAAACAGTGAACTTAAAGATAATACAATTTATTTTATATCATTTATGATGAAAGGGAAATCTTACCGTATTTCAATCGCATTTCTTCATGTCTCTGCCTCATCTCTGCTTTCCTGCATTCAAATAAGAACTTTTTTCTTACTGAGCACTACTGCATCAAGACATCTCCACAATTCTTAACAAAATAATCAAATGTATGAAATTCTGAGAAATGAATTTTCTCAAAACAAATCGTACCTCTCCTCTTGACGGAACTTTCTCAGATGACCTTGTCTCTCCATTCGCACGTCACTCCTTTTAGACCTTTCGAATTTTCAGGAGAAATGAAATGTAATAATTTCTTGCATGTTCCAATGTTATAGTGATTTGTTATTAATAATTAATAGCAGTAAATCAATATATATCATTTTCACTGGCAAGAATACGTTATGAAGATAAATATGCACAAATTAATGGCTGACCGTAATATCACAAACTCTAATTACAAGTGCTGGTATTCATCTTACCCAATGTTTTCACATTTACAGCAGCAGAAGCAGCAGACAAATATGGCGATGATGATCACCCCCACGATCACAGAGATGGTAATGATGAGAGTCTGGAAATTCACTGAGATTCAAACAACACAGAACAGAGGTGATCATTCTTGTACAAAACTCACAGCTCACAGGCAATAAATGTAAAGGTTAAACTGGCCTTGACACATTTTACAAGAGTGTAAAGGTAATAAAGTGACAATCAAGAATGTAATTAAGTTAAAGCTACCATGAACTATGAATGTGACTTATAAAGCTCTTCTAGTTTTTACAATTCATTTCTTAACAAATGCATGTGATACATCCATTAAGAAGGTAAAGAGATGGCAAGATGTTTCTTGTTGTATGTCACTGTCAGTCTTACTCCAGCATACTCCCCATCGTGCTTCTGAGAGAGGGCAAACACTGTGAGAGGGCAGAATGCTCTTCACTGGATAGTCAATGCATTTCTGGCTTGAGATGCACCACAAACACTGAAAAAGAGAAACAAATATATTACACACATTTTCTGTTTCACTAATTATTGCTGTCTGTGGAACAAACGCGGGGTTTAGAAGTCTGATGATCACAATTGTTGACAGTGAATAACAAATTATATCTTACCGAAACAATCATCAGACATTCTTCACAAGTTGTGTTGGATTTTATAGTGCAGTCTGTGAAAAGAACACAGTTTTTGGGACAAGTCTGATATCACTCAGTGACAACTGATTTTAACCATATCTCTATTATACATCTCAAACATTTTGAGACAAGTACATTTCTAAAATTGATTTCAATATTTGAAATCTGAACCATATAAACTCAGAAATCAGCATTGATGAACATACAACATCTTTTTACATAGCAGTTATATTAAATATTATCCCTGAACTCGCTTATAAAACTCTTATACTGAACACAATATTCCTTTATGTTTTCTAGCCTATCATGTGATGTAAACAAAATAAACCGCAGGAAACTCTTAAAGGGGTCATATGATGCTATTTGAAAGATCATTATTTTGTGTATTTGGTGTAACAGAATATGTTTTATTCTGAATATGTATTTTTCAAATACTGTACATTATTGTAGGTCCTCTATGCCCCGCCTCTCTCAAACACGTCGTTTTCAACAAAGCCCCCTCCTTTCACAAGCGCAGTAGGAAAACTTGAAATCGCATCATATGACCCCTTTAAAAAGTGCATTCAAGGAGCAAATAAAATCTCAGTTTACCATGGTTACGGTTTACAGTTTCCAACACAACTATAAAACATATATATTTTTAAAAGTATTTCAACTAGTAAAACAGTGCTTGGGGTCCAGAGTGTTAAAGCGATTTGTACTGAGCCGACTGAGTCATATGATCACTGCTAGAAGTCACTTCCAAGTAACATTGTCGTTAAACAGTTTGGTTATACATGACTTATTATTAAAACGTAACAATTTCCAAGAAATAGACGATATGCTGGACGATTAATTAAATAAATGTCTGCTGGCCAGACAAACGAACTTGGCTGCGTTTCAAATCCTTGCGAGCTGCCTACACAGACAGCATTTAGTCATCATGAGCGCGTTCTGAATCTGAACCGATTGTGTGAAATTAGTTGATGTCCAAAATGCTATCCAAGTAGATAGTTCACTAGGTAAAGACACAGCCATTGTTTGACCATATCTACGGTTAAAAAGCTCGTAAACACACACAGCAGTATGGCTGAAACTTACTTGTTTCTGGACTTGTCGTCTGACCAAAAACTATTACAAAACAGAAGACAAAGAAAACAAAAGCAAAAAGTAAAAAAGTCCGAGTTTGGATCATGATGGCAAACGCAGCGGATCTTTGTTGATTTCAGGCCTGGCTGGTCATGTGTTTGCTGGAAGGACTGAACGACACTGTTGCAAGATCCTCCCAGTTTCGAAATAGTGGTTTATGGTTAAGCAGGGTTTGAGGCGCTGATTTAGTTGTTGTTTTCCTCACAAACAGTAATGTGGGTAAAGTAAATAGCAGGCAAAAATAGGCTACATTCAAATAAAACATGACGTCAAGTTGGCTTCCTTAAAATGTATTTAGACATATTATTTAATGCCTAAAACATCATTATATTAAAAGTAAGAAAACAATACAAGTTTGGAAAACACATAAACCGATCTGGTAACTTTTTTTTAAATGGCTAATTTTTGTTAAATAAATATTTGTCATCTTTTATCTAAATGGAATAACTGCCTCCGAAACAAAATTATTTTTTGAATATAAAAAACATTCTTATTTATTATATTTATTGATATTAGCTCCATAGATAAACGTTTGTTGTGTAGGAGAGCATATACAAGAAAGGATTTATATTTGAGTAAAACATGACTTCAGAATTTACTGTCCACAGATATGAGTGCTGTTGCTCATAAAGCATGAACATGTGCAGTAATCATATTTGAAGGGAAGACATTTTGTAGTCACTGGAGAATCGAATCTCTGAGAGAAACATGTCTTAATGGGGAACAAAACTAATATCCACAGCAATGTCTTTATATTATATATTATTTATATATTTTGTAACAAAGATGAACAGAAACAAACTCCAAAAATGTTTTTATTACAAGCGAACTTAGATAAATTAATGCAAGATGTCATTTATTTTATATCATGTGCATGAGATTGTGGAAAAGCGAGGGACAAAGGAAAACAGGTAATTTTATAACACTTTTAAATAATCCACACCAACTGGAATTTAAATAATTTATTAAGCATTTTGTAAATCCAGTTACAAAAAAAACAATCTTTGATTTTCATCCTCTACACAAACTGGAATATGTTGATGCTAAACTAAAGATGTTGAGATGCACTCTGGCAGTGAACTGACCAGCAGCTCACCAGATTTATTAATGGAGCAATAATGAACAGAACTTTGAATGAGGTTGTGGAACCACATAAACGAGTCTCTGCTACCACAGTGACATCCTCCATTCATATTATCACTGTGTGTTACATCACTAATGTAGGGAGTCTGTACACCACATGCCATCAACATCACCATCCATACAATGACACAAACACTGAATAAATACCCAGCCCACCTATAAGTATTAACTCTCTTTTAGGCACACAAAATCATCCTTCAGTTACAAGTATGCAGCCTTCCTTAAAAAAACATTCTTAAGAAAAAACACAAGCACATTCCAAACATCCGTCTGAAAAGGGTTTGACATTTAAACTGAAATGGATCAATTTATCTTGAAAATAAGAATTTACAACTGACCTACTGTGTGAAATAGCACAGTCATAGCTTTTCTGCAAATATCAGTACAGTGGTATTCCACCAATTTCCTTTCAGATCTTTTTGCTATAACAACCAAAACACTGCACTGAAATATTGAGATATTGCTTATGTCTTTATACTGTACCGTAGCTTAACCCAGATGGGGCCGTTCACATTTCAGTTTCTTTTTTTTTTTATGTAAACATGCACTAGACAGACATGTTTGACTGATGTATTTATCTTGTGCCTTTTGAGGCATCTGGCACGACACTGCGTTCTAAAAAAAATTCTTCTGCCTTGCATCTTATTTTTAAACACAAAAACTTGATCTGTGTGAATGGCCCCTAAGGACCAAACACTTCCCTCTAGTATGTTTACTTAGAAAAAACAATGGAAATTTAGCACAGTGGAATCAAAAACTGCAAGACGTGAAGTCTAGAGGCATGTTTTTAAAAAAAATTTCAGAACGCTGTGTCATGTATGAGACACTGCAGAAGACGTGGCACATCTAGCATATGTTTACATATAGAAATACATCAATGGAAAAGCAATGCAGTGGAATGCAAAAATGCTTTCTGTGTGAATAGCCCCTCATGCACAATACACAAGAGAATGCATGGACAAAAATGGCAAGACAGGTAAAAAAAAAAAAAACTTTTCCTCATTCTCTCAACCCGAGAAACAGTAACAGACAAACAGTAACACAGAAAGCCATCTAAATGACACAAATCTGCACAGACCAGCCCTTGTGTGGAGTAAGGCAAATGGGCAAGTTTTAACATGGCTGTTGAGGCCTTCAATGTGTGCAATCACCTCAGGCTATTAGTCTTTGAAAGCTCTCAACAAAACATTGTTATGTGTGTAACATTTAAAACCGTGTTTGGATCTTTTCACTTCAAAGAGTGTTCGAAACTGAAGTTGGCCAAAAGCAGAAAGGAGCACGTTGAAGTATTCAGGACTTTGAGGTATTGGCGATGAACATTTGCTGGGCAACTAGTACTGCACCACGTACTAACCAGACGTGATGGGATAAAGGAACAAGTGCTAAATTTAGCTTGGATGATTGACAGGACAGTCTGTTGGTAGCCCCACCCACAGTGGAATCTCATTGGTCCAAAATTCTACTGTATATTAAACATCAATTATGATACGTTGTTAGAGGGGTGGTTGTCTACACACATGCAGATTTGAAAAAAAAACATGTCTGTCTTATAACTGGTTCCTGTATAATCATCTTATATTCATCAATCCACATTCATTTTTCCATCAGTGTGAAGGAAGTCGCTCTCGTCTTGATTGGTCAACACTCATCACCTGATCCAGTTGCTCCCAAAGCTGGCCACTGATCTGACACTGCATCGTTTCTTAACTATCATGTTGATGTAGGCTTTCATTATTTTGGTGATCTCTCCAACCTGAAAAAAGCCACAGTTTATTCACAGTGAACAAAATTGAAGAAAGCAAAGCAAGAAACACTTCTATTCAATTACATGTTGATTATGTATAAAGGGATAGTTCACCCCAAAAATGAAAATTCTGTCATCATTTACTCGCCCTCATGTCATTCCAAAACTTATTCTTGAAAACAAAACCTTGAAGCTTCAAAATTGTGAAATAGTTCTTATGAATCAAAGGTTTAATCCAAGTACAAACAAAAACATACAGCACATTAAATGTGGTAAATGGAAGCTCGACCGCACTGTGTGATACAAGAGAACAAACCGCACTGGTTCTTGGGGAAGCTCAAGCGTGCTTGCCTGACATGCGAGAACAAATCTTGCTGTAGTACATTTGAGTTTCCGGTTACCATATTTGATGTGCTCTATGTATATGCATTGATCAGTGTTTCAATGTGAATAAAGGCCTAAATTAAATCTAATTTTAAGCAATCTTGTCTCCTCGGAAGACTTGGATCAAACTGCTTGCTTCATACTGATTATGCTTTCAATGTCTTTCTAAACTTTTTAAAAGGTCAAAGTTTTGGTGTCATGAGTTTTCAATGAGGGGACAGAAATTTCTTCATTTCTTTCGAAGATTAATGGGTTTGGAATGACATCAGGGTGAGTAAATGATGACAGAATATTATTTTTTGGGTGAACAATCCATTTAAAATGACATTTGATTACCTGAGGTGTCTCAAAGAACATGTCCCTCCCATCAACGGTGATCTTATACGTGCTGGCGTGAGGAGCTCCAAAGAAGACAATGTGTTCATAGGGGAAAGTCTCCAGAGGTTTGGCCTCTCCTCGCTTATACACAGACACGTTCTCGGCACTCACACTCAGCCAGAGATCATGAGGGAAACCACCTTCTTTACACTGCACACAGAATCACAACAAGTGTCAGATTAGCCAATCAAAAAAACATCCAGATACTATCCTGGATTCAAAACGCGTGGGGCCACAGAGAGCTTTTTTGGCCATTTCAATTAATGTAATCATCTCACATCCTCAGTTCTTACCTCCACATCAAACAGTGTTGATCCATACCCAGGCCACTCTTTAATGATGTTCATGTATTTGAGCATGGCTTGATGCTGATCCAGACCATGCAGCCGGCTCCATTTCTCCATAATATTGGCCCTGGTGGCTGAAGTCTCTTCCTTGATCCACATTTCCATCATTTGTTCCTCTTGCATGCTGCGCTGCTTCTTCATAGTGCCTGTCTTCAGCCCTCGCCTCAGCGTGCCGTCCAGGAAGCTTGTCCTCCTCCTTTCCAGGGTTTGTCCTGATCCGGCTGCACCTCCTACTTTGGTGAATTGAAGTATGCGGCTGCGCAAACGGCCGGTGGGGTAGACGCTGTTCAAGCTCCAGTTCACCCGAGACACATCCCCATACAGGTACTGCAGACGTAAAGCAGCCAGGTGCTGGAGGGTGTCCTCGTGGGCAGGAACGTGACCGCTTATTAAACTTTCATGAGCCTGGAGAGATGAATAAGATGGAGACTCACATCTGACTTCTTCTGAAGTTAGAAAATGACCTTTTTTGTGTGTTTTTTATGCTTGCAGATACCAAACTTTGAAAAGAAAACACAGCTACATAGACTAAAATCAAGTGCAAAGGTGCAATACATAGAACAGAACTGAATTACAGGGGTTAATGTTTAGCTAGTTAGCACTGTTAGCTAGTTAGCATCGTTGCTGGTAGATGCTGTAACCACGCAATTCAAGTATCTTTCTCCAATGATGACCATTCAGAATATGATTTTTGAAATTGAAACACTATAGAAAGTGATTTGAACAGAATAAAAGCAAGAAGTGAAAATATAAATTTCACTTCAGCAACTTGCCTATGAACAGAGATTTTCTGTTCCATATCCTAAGATGTGACTGATATCAGAAAATATCACCAAATGCAAACTATTCTATGCTCAGAATCAATACTGTTGATGCTAAAACTAAAACTAATAAAATGTTTCAATAATTAAAACAAATCTGAAATAAGATAAAATAAATAAAATATAATTATTAGTCTTACAAACTTAAAAAAATTGAAATATCTTGGAAACTAACTGAAATAAGTAAGTTTAAGTTGCTAAAATTAATCAAACTGAAATACCAAAAAAATAAAAAAGAAATAAATATTTTAAACTAAAATGAAAAATATAAAAGCTAAATCAGTCAAGCAACTGCCATTGAGCCGAATGGGAAATGTTATGGATAGTTTCTCCAGATATTACACACCTTGAACAGAATAGAGGCAAGAAATGAAACTATAAATTACTGACCTGCTCAAACATGAAGACAAACTCCACTCCTTCCTTGGGCA